GTGTGTGTGTGTGTGTGTGTGTGTGTGTGTGTGTGTGTGTGTGTGTGGGAGTGAGGATGTTCGCTTGGGACGGATTCTCACACATCTGCTAACCTGCTTTTCTAATGGGGTGCAAATGGGCCTCCATTGTCCGGCCTTGCAGACCTGGTTGGAAACGACCTGACACTTTCGATGACGACTTGAGCTTCACGTGCATACGGGGAACACGCACTCACACTGAAGTGTACACACACATGTAGATCGCCTAACGCTGTGAATGGAAGTAGCTCAAACTAAAAAAGTTTTGTTTTTTTTATTTGTGTTTCTAGTGCACAATAATATTTGCAGTGTACCATTTGTAACATATTTATGGTACATTAAGAAGTTATAGCCGTTTGCTGGAATACATGACGTATGAGTTTGTGGAGTTATATGACTTACACTTTTACTCTACTCCGTTTCATATTTCTTAACAGAAAAAAACAGTTGCAGGAGGCTTAGCTGAAGGAGAAAATGTGTGCTTTAACCATCACCCTCTCAAATCCAAACATTTCTAAAGCTGTGTTTTACTAAGCAGCCACAACTCAGCTGAAATGATTTTTACTAGGCGCTCTTGCTGACTTGGAGTTGGGGGATGGGGTTTAACAGAATGGAGGGGAAGGGGGGGGGGTGCAATACGGGGTCACACAGGAGGAGAACTGTGAGGGAGGGGAGGGGTCGCTGTTTTCATTCTCTCTGGGCTCTAGGAAAGAAAGGAAGGAAGCCAGAGCGGAGCCCGAACCAAAGTGAGGAGAGATGGTCGGTGGGGGGAGGGACTGGAGCGAGAGCGCTGCTTATTGGTAGGCTGTGGCTCTCTCTCGCTGGATGGATTGATTTAGCACGGGTCGAATTACACCATTTGCCGTGCATTAGTTTGTTTTTCTCTCAGCCAGGAGAAGTTGGTTCACTACGACGCGCACAATACATATTTCCTGGGGGATTACAGCCACACAAAAGGATACAAAATAAGCAATTCAGATGAGGTGAGTTTCTCGCCGCTCCGTGGATTTACTTTGTTGCGCCGCATTACGCAGTGAAAGTCGAGGGGGAAAACTAGAGAGAAGTCTTTGCTGGGATACTAAATATTTCTTCTGACCACGTCTCTATGTCGCGCTGCAAAACCGATGGTTGCAGGACAGAAATAGTTCGAGCCCTGACTATTTTTACTAATGCTTTGATGCGATTTACTGTTCATTCATTCCTTTCGCGACCGACACCGTTTATCTGTCCTGCTCTGCTCCGAAGCGGTTTTTCCAGCGCTCCTAAAGCGGTGTAACGGAGGGTAAACCACATCTAAAGTCACCTCTTTATTTGCTGGACAGCTTCTCAGAAATCTTTATTACATTAGGTTATTTGAGTTGCACGCATCAAACTGGTGAAGCGAAAAGTGAGTGAGCTACTGGGATAAACAAGCACAGAAATAAGCGTTGTGTACATTTGTTTTTCTTTTATTCCGGTGGATATGCGCGATATCATGCTCTCCGTCAGTCCACACGCCCTCCATTATCTTTAATCAGCGTTAAATCAATGAGTGGACATGAAGTCAGAGCGCGCCTATAGTGAGGATAGCGCGTCGTTAATGTTTATGTCTATTCCCTCTGGTTTCCAAAGTTAATGGTAGTGGAAGGGGGCTGGTGTATCGGTGTAAGAGGGAGGGGGGGGGGGGGCTTGTGTGGTCGTGGCACAGCTTTGAAGATCAGTCATCAGAGCGCAGGGGCCCGGGGACGGAGACAGAGCAGCCAGTCAAAATGCTCGTTTGTGGCGAGCGGAGCTGAAATCTGTGCGCAACTGGATCAAAAAAAGAGAAAAGTGGGGTCCGCATGGAGCTTAAAATGACAGGAATATTACATGCTGGGTGTTTGCTCTTAAATGGATTACCAAAGGAGTATGATATTCAGTCGGAGTGCCCCACTCACGAGTGAATTCGGACACGCAAGGTAGGTGTCCTCGATGGTTTTCAATTATTGATATAGTGAATTTTATTTCTTGGACACACTCAGTGCTGCAGCTTTTATTAAGACGGACATTTGGATTAAAAAAGGGACACATCACTGTGTTCTGCGACCCGGAGAGCTACTCTGTGAACAGAATCTATACAAGGGAACCAAGTACTTGGATTTCAAAGTAAAAATATTCCAATTTTAAACATAGATGTTCGCATATATTATGATGCATCGAGAGTAAAATCAGAGCCAGGCCAGTGTTGGTCTTTAACAGATCTCTCACGCAGAGAAGTGTCCGTATTTTCCTACAATTGCAGTCACAATATCTCACCTCTTCTGTTGTGTATTGTTCCGAGTTGAGTTAATTATTCAAAAGGCATATATTTATAAAAATAAAGTGTTTTCTGACATTTTGACTTCATAAAAATCAACTTAACGGAGTAAAGGACGTGATTGTACGGAGCATGCTGGCCAATATTCAACAATAAAAGACGAGTAGGACGTTCAGTTTGACTTGAAGGTTGTTTACTGCTCTCTCGCGGATGCCTTTAATCTATTTAATGTATTCCCAATTTCATTATGGTATTCTTATATTGGATAATAAATTGGAGAAGCGCTCGTAACCCTTTTTTTGGGAGGCAGAGCAGCGCGAGAGCCCAGCCCTGCGCCTGCATTAAGTGCCGTGGAGGCAGTTAAACGCAGCCCCATCACAGTTGTCACTCCACCGCTGTCCCCCGCGTCTTTGTTGTCTTTTGTATGAGTCCTACATGTGGACTAAAGGGGTCTGAAAAGATTCACCACGGATAAACCTTGAATGCCTTTACGCCCCAGTCCGCACAATGCTCGCATTAGAGCCAGGGCTGCTGCATGGATTGTGTGCGCAAAAGGAGCAGAAGATCTCCAAGCAAAAAACTTGAAAAATTACCCCGGACTGAAGGAAGAGAAACAGAAGAATAATGAGTTAAAGACAGAGATAATTAGACTGGTTCATTTGATTCATAAGGAGGTATTTAAGTGGGAGTAGAGTCATTTTAGGAATTGTTCTGCTGTGTCTCATTATTTAAGGAAATTTGGCTGAATGAAGTAAATGAGCAAAGGGAGATGAAGCATTTGGGCTTAATCTAAAGTAGTCTGCTGTGCTAAATTAATTCTTTCAAAAAATAACAAAAAAGTGCACAAATTGTATTGATGCTATTCTCGCATACCACGGCAGTCCCTTTACAGATGTAAAAACAGAGCAGATCTGTGTAAAGCCCACAGATGTGTACATTTCCATTAAACTCTGGAGCGTCAGAGAGAGGAGAACCTCAGCTTAGTTACTGGAACCTACAAACGTGATATTGGCAGGAGCACCACACTCCGGCCAGGTCGAACGTCCGAACCAGCCGAGGGTTAGTTGGCAGCACAGCTGGCTGCTGCGCCTCACTTCACCTCACCGGCCACGGGGTCAGAACCCAGCGACCAGAACGATCCCCGTTAACCCCCGCGACAGCCGGCTGTAACCCCGGAACAACCACCATTGAACCATACATTGATCAGTGTTAACCCTTTCCACCGTGTGCCTTATGGTTGCCCTAAACTGCTGCTTTGGAACCAGATTGTTCGATGCTAAATTGGTTTGAGAGATACAAGTTTGACCCAGTGCGCAGCATTTGGAGTCAGTATGTTTTTTATAGTTTGCTTTGTTCCCCCCCCAGAACCCCCTTTTAGGAGCCCCAGAACAGCTCTCCCGAATGTAGGTCCACTGACCGGGGGTGGGGCTCTATTGTGTTGACTTGCCCAAAGCCCCCTTTGTTTCCTGGTCACACCTGCAGCTCGGCCCCTTTTGTGCTCTACTATAGCAGAACTACTGCTGAGAACAGCCTTTCTCCTGTTTCACTCCGCCTCTATCCGAGGTGGAGAAGAAAGGGAGGGAAGCACGGTTTAGGGTGGCACAGCCCTCTCCTTCTGCCAAGCCTCTGAAGCAACAAGTCTGACCAAGCCCCTCAGAAGTGATCCTTAGGCAAATAGCACGCGATTAGGGCCAGTGGTTATTATTGAAGTGGGAAAAAGGAGTAGTAATCATTTCTGGGCCCGTGTGGCGGCTGCTCTAATCATCTGGCTGACTCACTCTCCTGTGTGGCTGCTTCTTGATTACTTTCTCAGAGCAGTTGAGAGTTGAGAAGACCGTGTTATAGGACGCATCCAGTTTTGGACGCGCACGCACAGATTTAGACAGACATACGCCAAGCGTGAAGAGTAAAAATGCCTGAAACGAAACTCCTGGGCTATCTGATTCCCTGTGCTGTTAGGTTTACAGATCAGTGTGGCGCAAGATGACAAGCCTAGCAGCTTAGAACCTAAAGCTTGGAACACTAAATTTCAACTGTAACTACCAGAATTGGGCTACAGACCCACCATCAGCAGAAATAGCAATCCACCAGACCCCCTCCTCTTCTCCCCCTCCCCGTGTTTAACACCATGGGCCTGAGCCAACAACATCAGCAGGGAGAGTGCGTGGTTGTAGGACATTGAAAAGCCTGTAATAACAGAGGTAGAGAGAGGCAAGGCTAAATGGGACCGAGTTGCGTGACAAGCCCAGCATCTCTAGGCTTGTTGAGGCACATATATGTGTGTGTGTGTGTATGCACACACACACACACACACACACACACACACACGCACACACTGGAGGGCAGGAAACAGAGAGCGCAAAGGCATAGTCAATAGAAAACATACTGGGCTCACTAGAGATTGAGAAGTAATTTTAGATCGCTGACCTCTGGATGTCTCCTGTTTCTGTTTTACATTAAAGTTTCGGAGGAAAGCCTTCGCCTCCACGGCGTGGCTATTACCATGCAAGGAATCATGGGAGATGGGAACTGAGCTTCTGCCTCTCGTTGGGAGTGTTTTTCTCCTGAATTTTTTACAGAGGGGCAATGGCTGGGGGAAAAAAGCGGTGTGTGCTTAAGAAGAGGGGATATAGAGCAGGACTCAAAACTCTGACAACCGAGGAAATGATTTACATGTGAACACAGTTCGGACTGGAAGCACAGCCTGCAGCTTGTATGATAGCACTATAGAATTGAAATGTGCAGCTTGGTTTATTTACCTTTCATGGCTCCACTTTCTTTTCTATTATTATACGTTTGGTATCTATTCCTGTCCCTGGCTTCTCCCAGGAATTTGTCAATTTATTGCTTGGGTTTTCATAGAGCACATTTCATGGTGTGAGAGCGTCTGAACCTGGTCGTAAAAACAATAAGCTGCTATGCTTTTAAAGAAACACCACTGTCTCTCTCTGCAGAGCAGTGTCATCATTTGTCGTTTAGATGAAGTTGCTGACAGATGTCCTTCTGTAATGATGTGGGAGCCTGTGTGCATAGATCTGTAGATTGTTTGTGTCCAGAGATGCATTTGTATCTAGATTAGATGATAGTGACTGTGCCAGCATCATTGATGTTTTCAGTTATAGGGAGATATAGGCCCGGATTCAATCTTTCTATTTCGTCAAAAAACCAAACCCGTAATTTAACTATTAAGTGGACTAATTGAGATGAAGTGTTTTCTTGTCTAGGCTTGCATTACTTAGTCATAACGACATTGCTCTTTCAAAGGCCTCGGCATCCCACAGAGTGCTGAATAGCCATGATTACACATTGTTGATGACTAAAACACGCGGGTATTGCTCCGCTTCCATCTCCGCCGCATTCATTCTTTTTAGTGACACATCATTGTACAGGAACTGTTCAGCCCAAAATTGGATTATTAATGCCTGGAAAACACACTGTGCACTTTATATCAACATGTAGCCTCTAAGGCAGTGCAGCCAATGTGTGTATTAGCCCATGTAATCCACAAACACTGACAAAAGGCTGTCATGCAGATGCCTTTAAACGCCTCATGTCACCTAGTTTTCTACTTGACGACTGTGTGTGTTACAGTTCATTTAGTGACGTAAACAAAAAGTGTTTGGAAAGATTAAAAAAATATATATATATATTTCCAGCCATTTACGAGATGAAAGTGACCAGATTGTGAGTTAAAAAGTCCTCACATGGCTACAGGGATATAGTCAAGTCCATAGACTGCCTTTTTCTGGCTGCTGATCTGCTGTGCTTCCTGTGTGGATCAATCAAATCACTAATGGCTTGGCAGGCAAGGCCCACAGACAGCACTGGAGCAGGTGTGCTTTGGGGCTAATTGAAAAAGGAGTCAATACTGTGTGTGTGTTTGTGTGTGTGTGTGTGTGTGTGTGTGTGTGTGTGTGTCTGTGTGCGTGCACATGCATCAGTCTTTGCATTACACCATTTGAAGGGGTGATTATGTATGTGCAGCTGTGTGTGTGTGTGTGTGTGTGTGTGTGTGTGTGTGTCACAGTGGGCTCCCAACTAATCCATCCCTCTGCCTGTGTGACGTCTGCCGGTAAATTGTTTATATCCGTTCAGGCTTTGCCTGCATGAATAATTTGTTTGCCTTATAAATATTTGAATGTACACCGATCATTAATATGCACAGACACAGTCTGTCTCTAAAGCACTCCTCCGTGCACTAACATACACACTAAACTCCTTCCACTCCCACAATAAATTATTACCAATGTAGTTGCTGCTGTATCATGTCTACAATCAGATGCAGTACAAACTAGTATCCACCAAAAAATACTACCACGTGAAAACAACTGTATATGACTTGATCCTCCGAAAGACTAAGCTCAGTGAAGCCCTACACTGCAATAACGCTCACCCGCCCCGAGGAAAGGCACGAGCGATAACAGCCAACAGAGCGCTAATAGAAGTCAGCTAAGGTCAGAGCAGAGGCTACACTAGTGATGGTGATGAAGTTGCAATGTGCTGATTGGCGCTGAGCCTGGCCCAGGACAAACCAATGGGAGCACAGATGTACAGAGACAGCAGGCCCAACACATTTCTAACAGTGTGGACTTCCGCTGCATCCAACACACACGGTGACACCCCACCGGTCACTTGGCTGACCTTCCCATAGACAGCAGATGCAGCGAGAGGAAGAGGGGAAACGCCAAGCTCTGCCGCTGAGAGCTCAGTCATCAATAAGCACGAGAGGGCGTTACGCAAGCCTTATGTTTGTATTTCACCAGCGTGGCGGGCATCGGCGAGAAAAGGGAAAAACTTTGCTGCGGGAATTCTTCCCCTTTTTCCATTGTTGTTTCACTCACAGAAGGTTAAATATGACATGGCATGTGTTAAGCAATAAAAGCATGCATTTTGTGTGTGTTCGCAGGTAACACCTCCACTAGAGTGAAACAGGAAGTGTCGTCTGTGAGCAGCCATGGGCCAGAGAGCTGTGCTTCTGCTCAGTGAGCTGCTGCTGCTGCTGCTGACAGCCTCACGCACTCTCCTCGCAGTCAGCTTCCCCGAGGACACCGTGCCCCTCGACGTCGTTGACGCACACTGTGAGTATACACGCACGCAAACGAGCTCGGCGGTTACAATTACTGCGACGTCACTGAAAAAGTCACCACGGATCCTCAAACATACACTTTTTACTCACTCCAGGAGAAACGAGAAACAAACACCGGCAGACTCCCTTTTCTAGCCGTGTCAGCAGTTCAGATGCTCGCATGCGATATTCATAGTAATAAAATCAATCTGCTCCATGGTCAGCTGTAGCATTAAGTGGATTTCATTCTCATCTCCGTGATGTACTGGAACAACAGAGAGATGTGCTGACACAGGCAGCCATTATCCAACGTGCAAACAAAACACAATGACACACAGATATAATTATACACAACATACCGTAGACCTTTACACCGTAATTGCAGCAGGATTTGTATAAAGCACACACACACACACACACACACACACACACACAGCATATGTCTTTCTAATCAGACCAGTACAGTTAAAAGTAGCAAGAGGTGTGTGTGTGTTTTCCGTGCAAGAGTGTCAGCTTCTACCGCGAGTTTCCCCGCTAACAGCGTGTGTGCGTGTGTGATGTCTTCACAGTTGCACGGCGGTACCCTGTGTTCAGAGGCAGGCCCTCTGGCAACGAGTCGCAGCATCGCCTTGACTTTCAGCTGATGACCAAGATACAGGACACTCTGTTCATCGCTGGCAGGTAAACTCAACACACATACACATTATCTCTTTCACACATCCCCCCCACCAATACACTCAGTCACTCCTTGGCAGGTAAACAGTGGCATAAAGGGGGGGAAAAGGCTCTTAGTGTTATTGGATCTGTTGCTTCTGGGCCTGCATCTGATGTACGTATATGGCCGGTATTGATCGAGAAAGGGCGTCTATCATGCCGGCCTCACGCTCCGTCAGGGATTTCTCGGCATCTTTACATGTCTTTTTTTGGTATTTATGGGCCATGAGAATACTCTGACCGCCAGCACTAATATTGTAGCAGGAAATCAGCTCGACATCTCCAGTATAAAACTCCCACCTCTGGAGCCCCTGTAATCACCGCCACATGCATCTCTGTTTTCAGGTGGATCCTCCTTTTGCCAGTTTGGGGTAGTCAGATGTTTTCACTAAACGTGAAGCAAAATGTTGTTCTCTACGGGTTGATGGAATTGGATTCTCATTGTTTTATTACATTTTTTATAACCGACGTATAATCAACACAATAAGTGGTCGTCATGTAAAATGGAACAGCAGAGAGGACAGCCAGGTTTTCATATAACAGGCAGTTTCACAAAAACAATTCACTGTGCATCAACACCCTGTTTGTTGTTCACATAATAGACATTAGAATGTGAATATTTTCAGGTTCTGACAGAAATCTACCCAGAGAAATTGGTTTAAACTCATTTCCCTAGGATTTTATATTACTGCGAACCAAAAAGTAGAAGAAGAGGCTGAAAGCATAGTTCCCAGTAAATGACATCATCTAGTGACAAGTACCGTGCATCGAAATATATTCATAATGGCTAATAAAGAGAATAATTGGGGAAACAATGTAAATGAGTTGCTGATTATGCATAAGAGTCCCTCTAAGAATGTGAAAACAAGAAAAGACTAAACCACATAGATGTGTTGAAAATGGTATTTTTAAGTCGAGACCTGAATTCATTTTGAATCAGAATTTTTACGCTTTTATTAATATTAGAAAACGACACCGATAAAGCCCCAGATTTTTTATCTTTAAAAAAAGAAAACATTGAAAATGTGTTGTAGCAATGGTTGTGCTGTGTCACTGAGCTGTGTGTTTTGTTGCTGTCTGTCCACAGAGATCAGGTGTACCTGGTCAGTCTGAGAGAATCCTACAGGAATGAGATCATTCCTTACAGGGTAAGATTCTCTCAATCCACACACACACTAAAAGGGCTCTGGAGAAAATACAGAGCCATTCATCACCAACTGGATAGGTTGTAAAATGAGAGAGTGGAAAAGGGAGGACAGTGTGCGTGTGCACGAGTGAGTGAGTGTGTGTGCGAGCGTATGTGTGTTAGTAGTGTGCCGTGCTTGCGTCTAATGCTCCCATGCTGTTTTTCACAGAAGCTAACATGGCGATCGGGCCAATCTGACAGAGACACCTGTGCCGTCAAGGGAAAACACAGAGTACGTATAAAAGGGCCATTCCCAGACAGAGGGTTTGTGAGAAGCGGAGCTAGCTGCCTCTAAACACGCTGTCCCCTGTTGTGTGTGTCCGTTTTTCAGGACGAGTGCCACAACTTCATCAAAGTGCTGGTTCCCAGAAACGACGACCTGGTGTTCATCTGCGGTACCAACGGCTTCAACCCCATGTGCAGATACTACAGGGTCAGTATCCAGTGCCAGGGCCTCGCATGCTCAGATGTGCACTTTCAGTAATTTGAGTTTTATTTTCTTGCTAAATAAATTTGACTCGGCCCTGTTTGACTTGTGTTTTTCTATGTGGGTTTGTTCTCGCTGTGTCCCTCGACAAAAACATGTTTAAAGTTTCGGTTGATTGTTGTGTTCCCTTCAGCTGGATAACCTTGAGTTTGATGGAGAGGAGATCAATGGACTGGCACGATGCCCATTTGATTCCAAGCAAACCAACGTTGCCCTTTTCGCTGGTACGGTTCAAACACACACACGCCTCTGCACATAGTTAGTCCTTCCAGAGAAGAACTAATGGGTTCCTACTCGCGCTCTCATTATCACCTCTGTGTCTTTGCCACAGTAAAACTGTGCCTGCAGCGATAACGCCGTAGCTAATCAAGCCTTTTAAAAAGAAGAGAAACAACACAGCATTGACAAGCAGTGTATCCTACTTTCTGGTGACTGTACTCCTTGTTTTGTGTCGCTTTTTTTCAGAGGGGAAGCTGTATTCGGCCACTGTAGCTGACTTCCAGGCCAGTGATTCTGTCATCTATCGCAGTATGGGTGATGGATCAGCCCTGAGGACCATCAAATACGACTCCAAATGGCTGAAAGGTAAGCGATTGCCTCTTCATCACTCTCAATCTTGATTTTTTTTCTCTCTCCTTCTCCTTCCCGGAGAAACGCGTGTCCGCCTGACAGCTATCTAAATGTCCATGGTGCCTTCGCATGGTGTCTGCATGTACGTGGCTGTCAGAGCTGTTTTTAGATTGATAAAGAGCTCTTCTGCCTCGCGAAGCTCCACGGGGATATGGCCCGTTCTCTCCCAGGAAATCTGGGTCACCCCCAGTCATCTACAGCCTTGTACAAATCCCTGAAATATTCAACATGCACAGTGGTGGTGACGGTGCAGAAATACACTTCAACTCTCTGCTTCTGTGTCACCCTCAGAACCTCATTTCCTGCACGCAGCAGAGTATGGGAATTATGTGTACTTTTTCTACCGGGAGATTGCGGTCGAGCACAGCAATCTGGGCAAGGTAAGACAGCGCACCTGCCGTTTATAATGCATTACATATTCCACACGGATACAGTATGCTCTCCTTTATCCACATAAAAAAAAAGGCTTACACCCCCCTCAGTGCGTGCGTTTCTGCCACAAATGGCCCCAGTGGTAATGGGGCCCATTCAGGCGATGACAGTGCATCGCATTAGAGTACATGAGGAATTTCAACAGCCAGTGTTTGCTGGGAATGTTCTATTAATGTAAAACCATTACACAGTGAGAGGATTTGTCTCCCGGAGATGTGCGCTCTGTGTCTGCCACTACCTACGACACGTGCAGAGGGCATTAGGAGGCTCTACGTTTGAGGCCAACTTCAGATTTTTACCATCCATGCCTCATCCTGAGCCGGTCTGGCCGAGCCGCAGGAAGCCGGCATCCTCCATCAACCACCAGCCAATAAATATTTCAACCCTACTAATGCTTGGGTGACACCTGGCCTCTGATGGAGGTTTGCACTGGTGAATAATTAAAACCAACCGCTTCACACACTTCATTCATACTCTAAGCCTTGGTAATAAGTGCAATCAAACACACATTCACATGGCGCTGTATCGGGCCAGTCGAAGCCAATGGGATGTTCTATTTTTAGACGTTTGCTCCAGTCAGGGTGAAAAATCTCCGCACACAAAGTTAAAGATGGGGGCGTGTGTTTGCTACAGGATGGAGATGTTTTATTCAGCATGTTGAAGTGTTTTTAGTGACGTTCACTCAGCTGCCTTCCTCTTCCCCTCGCCTCTCTCTTAAACCCCTGCACCTCGCAGGTTGTGTATTCCCGCGTGGCCCGGATCTGTAAGAACGACGTCGGTGGGTCGCAGCGGGTGCTGGAGAAGCACTGGACATCTTTCGTGAAGGCAAGGCTCAATTGCTCGGTGCCAGGGGAGTCCTTCTTCTACTTCGACGTGCTTCAGTCCATCACTGACATCATCAACATCAACGGAGAACCCTCGGTGGTGGGTGTGTTCACCACACAGATGAACAGGTGAGCCCCGGCTGCTGTTGGCTGTTAAGGCAAATATGAAATTCAGGAGTCATACGTGGAGGTTACATTGATGTATGTCTTTCTCCTCAGTATCCCAGGGTCAGCAGTGTGTGCCTTCTCCATGGCCGACATAGAGACGGTATTCATGGGACGGTTCAAAGAGCAGAAGACTCCCGACTCCGTGTGGACTCCATTTCCAGAGGAGAAGCTGCCCAGACCTCGGTACGGATTATAATTTTCTTCTCCCCAAGAGAATTTACAAATTCTAAACCTTGAGCAGGTGGCGCTTGACTCCGCAGCTGTTTAACACCTGACATTTCTTTCCTATTTTCTAAACCCTTCTTTGTACGGGTTAAACAGACATCAAATCTTTTTCACCAGTAAGGGACCAAGTTATTAGCTTTGACCCAGCACACACATTCACCATCTGCTGATGATTAAATTATTAATTTGGCATAATTAGACGCGTTGCATATTTAACCTGTTTACAGTCAGCACGTATAGTTGCAGCCCTGCCCTGTGTCCAAAACACAGGGCAGGGTTTGTCCACGAAGCACCTCATTACCCCGGTAAATCATTAATGGAGGATAACCATGCATATGTATATTTTATGTTGCCAGCTGAGGCCTTTTTGTGATCCTAATAAGCACCTGCTCCTCTCCCCCCACCCTCTCGTTGCACTTTTCACCCATTTCAATACACGCTTTTATTACTCCCCGGTGTGTGATCGTATAGGCTGATCTTTGACCTTTGGCTCTCTCTTCGTGTGCACCCTTCATCCTAGACCCGGGAGCTGTGCAGGTCATGGTCCAGCTGCATCCCTAAAGAGCTCCATCGAGTTCCCGGACGATACCCTGCAGTTCATCAAGTCCCACCCCCTCATGGACACAGCTGTGCCTTCTATTGGGGATGAGCCGTGGTTCACCAAGACTCGCGTCAGGTATGGCAATACCTCCGTTTCTGATACCTTTTTTAGGACCTTAGTTTTTAAGAACAAATTAATTTGTATGTTTTACCGCAATATGCAAAACTTTGTTTAATACTGTCTTATCACAAGAAACTCTCCAAGAACTTCGCCCAAGTAAAATACTATCAAATTAACAAAGCTATCTTATAATGTCATTAAGAATAAACAAACACAATCTTGACCAAGCAGGCGTTCAATACTCAATGCTACAGACACCTTCAGAACAGCACTCAAAAAGTATTGAGGCTCAATACCCATTTGTGTCACACAAGGAGATATCAATATTGACGCGTCTCTTAATTTACTGTGTAAGAGCCGAAGCGATTCATTTATTCAAAATGGACTCTCCTGTTTTGAATGGGATGCCCCCCACTGTGACTAACACATGCTCCTCTGCTGTGTGTGAAGGTACAGACTGACAGCGCTGGCTGTGGACAATGAAGCAGGACCTCACAAGAACCACACAGTGGTGTTCATCGGGGCCGAGTCTGGGGTTGTCCTCAAGGTTTTGGCCAAGACCTCTGTGTCTCTGAATGACAGCCTGCTTCTGGAGGAGATAGATGTCTTCAACGGGGCCAAGTATGAATATACTCAATTTTCACCCTCTCTCTTTCTGCCTCTCTTCTCCATTTCTCTTCCCCTTCTGACCGAGGAGTCAGCAACTCCTAAAGTGAAGCATCCTGGCACAGATGGCCGCGTCAGTCGGCTTTCTGTGCATGCACAGTATGAGTCTGATGTCTTTTTTGTGCTTATTTGTGGACGAGGGCATGCCCCACGGGGTGTGTTAGAGGTTAAACTGTGAGAGAAAGCTCATGCGACTCCTCCACCTAACAAGTGATTAAATCTACTGAGACTGAAACAGTAGACAGACTTATCTGATAAACCTCTGATCGGGTTTCTCTCTTCCCGTCCCAGGTGCCTGTCTAACCATGAGGATGACAAGCGTGTCCTCTCGCTGCACGTGGACAAAGAGGCACACAGCCTGTATGTCGCCTTTTCAAGCTGTGTCATCCGAATTCCCCTGAGTCGCTGTGAAAGGCATTCGTCCTGCCACAAGTAAGTGACGCGCTGATGCACACGTAGGGGGTTAAAATGCACTCTGTACCGCCGGTCCTAGGTTTGTGACTTTATTGTTTTGTGTTTCAGTAAATGCCATAAAAGGGAATGATAACAGCTTCATCTTATGCCTTTTGGTTAATGTTCAGTCAGTCACAAATGATTATAGTGCACTTCCCAGAATGATTAAACCCGGTGTTCTGATGGTGTGTTTTTGTATGGCTCCAGGTCCTGCATTGCATCAAGGGATCCCTACTGTGGCTGGGTGCCTCATGGGGCCTGTGAGAGGATACAGCCTGGTGTTTTGTGAGTTCATGCCTCAGCCTATGATATAAAGTGCAAATATTATAGATGACAAAATGAGGTAAAGAATTTTTGCAACTCTGATTAATCCCTCCATCTCTTCTTTGCTCTCTTTTTAGGACTGGATATGAGCAAGACATTGAATTGGGAAACACTGCCCACCTGGGAGACTGCAACGGTACGAATCTCATCTCCATGCCATGCCGTCTATCCTAAGACACATGCTAACAAACACACACACACACACACACACACACACACGTAAACTGACACATACATGCACACAAACTCATCCCCACACACACCATGAGCCTGCACACTCACACCAGTAACCACTCCAGTAACTTGCCCCTACATAAGTCTATGTGCAGTATTAACACAAACATTTGCATACAGTACATGGCCACCTGTAACTTATGCCACCTGTGAGGCAGAAACATGGACATGTACAAGTATGGGTCATGTTGAGCCGGTGCAAATGGTGGAGGTCTGAAGATTTCCGATGGCCAGAAAATGTGCCTTTGGTGATTTTATGGCAAAACGCCTTTTCCTTCATTTGTACCAACTAAACATGACCCCGGCTGAACCTCGGTATTGATCAGAACCAGAGGGCCTCCACTGACTCCAGTGAGAAAAGGACACTGCTAGCGGGTGCTTTATATCTATATTATTAAACCAAATAAACTGCACTCTTAGTGTCTCTTAGGAATTTATGTTTTTACTCCTGAATTCCTTTATACTGATTTCTTGTCCTTTTAATTCTTTTAGCGTTTTTGGGCACTACATCAGCGCCAGATTACAAATCATTTGGCGACCCTACCTCTGGTTAGTTTGATCTTTTACTCAAATGGTTTCTTTCCTTGAGTTCAGCATCTCCAACCCTGTCTTTCCAGCACTACCACCATTCATCTTTTCTCACCAAACACCTCCCGAATGCTAATCACCTGCTTCATTCTCATCGTCACAAACAACAGACTCATAGGCGACATCGGTGCTCTATCTCAGCACAGATTCAAGTCCTCCTTTTCATTCATCACTTCCTGTTCCTCCTCTCTCTTGCATGCCCACCCACCATTCGTTGGCATCCTTACTGTTGTGTACCGACTTGTCCTTGAACCGCTGTATCCCCTCCCTTTTCCCCCTCCAAATTGTCTAAACAAAAAAATGTGCTTTCATTGGTCTGTGAATGTGAACTGTGATAAGGTTTATTCCCTAACCTTAAAAAATTCCGCAATGCCCATGCCAACTAACCGGGACGATAACAGTATGCTTTACCCACGTCTGCACAGTTTGTTAACAATTTGTTTGTCACCACAGACATGGAGTTTTCATCACCACCAGTCACAGTCCACCCCAGTGGGCCCATAGACCCCCCCGTACTCATACCCACTCAGAGCCCCAGCTCTGGGCCTGGTCCAGAGCTCTACGGCTCAGACCTTGCGCTGCAGGATGACCCAGCCACCTCCCATCCTTTAGACTCTATCCCAGGGGGCCAAGAGGGTAAGGCCCGCAGGGAGGCAGCCAACATGCTGCAATGAGTCGGATCTGATAGCTGCCAACAACTTTCACTAAGCCACACAAATGTGAATCTACACATAGCCTCACATAAGCAAACGCACACATGCACACATTGGCAGCTATTTAGTGTTTCCGTTAGATAACATGGCAGATTTTAATTTAGTCTCTTTTTCAAATTCATTTTCATACATAATATATTTTGCTATACACATTATATTTTTATGTTATTATTGTTTTCTTTCTTTCACATTTCCTTAGGTTCTTTCTTTCTTTTAACATATTTAATCCTAGTTTTCTAATCATTAAACCCTACACTCACTGTTCTCATAACGTTTTCTTTCAAATCTTTTGTTTGGATTTAGCTTGTGTCTCTGCCAGTATAGATTTTTTTAACGCTAGGGCTGCAGTCGAAAAGTCCAAAAATCTCGATGGAAAATGTCAAGGAAAGATCGCAAGGAGAATTCATGAGGAGTTGGGAAAAGACCACCGTGGTGCTTAGAGAATGCGACTACACTTTCACTAAGCTACACAATTATGATGCGACGGCAGATGTCACTGACGTAGGTCTGCTATGACGAAATTACAAAAAGCGCAACTAAAACATGACCTGGCGAAATCTATTATTATGCATACAGGCTATATACGGAGCTTCTTTGGGCTGCTTCACTCGGGGTGTGTGAAAAATATTTAGCTTTTTAACAATATAAATAATCTAGCATAGGCCTAGCTTGTTTTTGTTTTTATAGAGAATGACAGTTTGCTATATTTACTTTTCATTATATTTCGTATTCTTTTTTTAAATTTACTCATTTGTTACATGTTCGAAGTAAAAAAATACATACCAAATAAAACGAAAGGATTATTCATTTATCAACATGAATCACATTAGTTAATGAATGCATGAAAATAATTGGTAAACCTGTGCAAGATAGGAATATCGTCTGTTTTCATGGACGGCCGAATGGTCAGTTTAAATGTTCCTGCCGCAGGGAATTGCGGGACGGCATTATCTTCTTTTTCTTTGCTAAAGGAAAATCTAGTGTTTCCTATGCTAAAGGAGCTAAGCTTTCCTTAGCATTTAGAGAATTCGAACAGCTCTTATCATCGATACTTCGGTTTCATTTCACTCAGTTAGGAACCTTCCGAAGCAAAAGGGACTTTTCGACCGCACCCTAGCTCTAGAAACACTTTACCCCGGCTGGTAGATCATTGACTGGGCCTGCTTTGCAACAACACTATTTTGGCCGCACGGTGGATGACTAACTCTTTTAATGTCTGTGGTTACTAACAAACTTCCAGTAGAGCAGCAAGAGCTGCTTCTCTTTCCTCTGAACAACTTCCTGCTGGGTCTTGCTCTTGTACCAACAGATTGATTTGGCTCTTCATCACAGTGCACTCCTAACCCTTTGGTAGCGGTTAGACGCATGACAGAAAGCCACTAGTGGAACGTGGATCAAGGCAACACTTTAAGTCTTCCCTTCTGAACTAACATAGCACTGCTTTTCATAGATGGTGAAATGGATGTGGGTACCTAACAGCTTCTGCCAATTTTCACCATTTCTTCTTCTTCATCTGGGTTTGAGATGAATAGGAATGTGTCAATAGTTATGGTTGACTGGATCCTTGTATGTGGGGAGGTGTAAAATCAGAAACTCATGCATGGAGGTGTTCTCACACAAACATGTACGTTTCTGCTGTGAAACGGGGAGGGGTGCTTCACTTAGCACTTTGATTCTTTTCACCAGGGGGTTAAACAATGCTTCGATGTTCTTTTAGGAGTGTGGGATATCCGAGCAGGTGAGACCAACCAGATGGTCCACATGAACATCCTCATCACCTGCGTGTTTGCTGCGTTTCTCATGGGTGCCCTCCTGGCTGGTCTGATTGTTTTCTTCTACCGAGACTCATTCCTCCGTAAGCCAAGACGTGTCCACAAGGATGCAGAGTCTGCACCGTCCTGCTCCGACTCCACTGGAAGCTTTATCAAGCTCAATGGCCTCTTTGACAGCCCTGTAAAGGTACAGCCATAAAACCAGCTCCAATGATGTATCACATTTTGTTGAGATGAGTGATTGAACAAGATATGTGAAACTGTGTCTAATCTTACTCTTTTGATTTTGTATTGTCACATTCTTAGGAGTACCAGACCAACATTGATTCTCCTAAGATGTACACCAATCTGCTGAGCAACGGCAAAGACCTGAATTCACCCAACGGAGACACCAAGACCATGATCTTGCGGGACGGCTGTCAGCCCCCTGAGCTGGCTGCCCTGCCTACACCCGAGTCCACCCCTGTGCTTCAGCAGAAAAGCCTGCAGCCCATCAATAACCAGTGGGAGAGGGCTCACACAAAGGCCAGCAGACCTTGTAAGGAGTCCAACTCATCAGCCAAGAGTCCTCAGTTCCTTCTTTCTTCTGCTGGTGCTCCTCCTAACTCCAACTCCAACCACCCTCACCTCGCCTTGGGACACTCCCACATCCCAAGTGCGGTTGTCCTGCCCAATGCCACACATGACCACTCTAACCTTGACAATGGAGATGATACACTGCCACATTCGTCTGAAAGGAAGCCGAGGAACCCAGACTCTAAGGGAAGTAGGAAAGACCCGAAAAGGTCTGTGGATGCTAGAAATACCCTAAATGACCTTTTAAAACACCTTAATGACTCAGTGGCCAACCCCAAGGCCATTCTTCAAGAGGGATCGGGGCCTCGGCCAAGGCAACAGCTCACTCTGGAGCCCATGGAGGAACTGACTGAATTACCCCCCAAGGTGCCCAGCCGTGAAGCTTCCCTGTACTCCCCCTCCTCCTCCCTGCCGAGGCACAGCCCCACCAAGAGGGTTGATGTACCCCTGCCCAGCACCCCCACAACGCCAACGGGCAGCCTGAGCACAGGGGGCACCCTGGAGAGGCAAAGAGGGGGGTATCAACTCCACCGGAGTGCCTCTCACAGGCACTCCTTATCCACCTCGCCAAATGGGGTAACCATGGGGGTGTCTGTGTCTCGCCAACACAGTATGAACAGAGGGGGTTACATGCCCCCAACACCCCCCTCCAGACTTGACTCCCAAGGCGGAGTGATGGGGGCGGGAATGCACTCAGCCCACCCATCTTCTGTTCCCCGACAGAGCTACAGTGGGTATGGCTCACTCCCTCGCACAGGGCTTCAACGGACCCCATCGCTAAAGCCAGATGTGCCCCCTAAACCCAATGGGTTTTCACCACAGACTCCACAGATGCGAGTGGTCAACAAGTACAGTTATTAAAAGAGCATGGACACTTCTGAGTGAGCTCTTGGCCTCGACTGTAAAGCTTTGAGCCCCGAGGGCTTGGGGGAAGGGGCTACAGATGGGGTAGGGCCTAGTGTGTGTTTGTGTATCGACTTGAGGTATGTTCGCCCTTTAAATGATATGCACATTCACTCACGCTGAAAAAGGGAAAATCACACGTGGCCAAAGATACTCCTTGGGGCTTTTTTTTGCTCCCTACATCTCCATCTCCCTCCCTTGTCACGGTAGCCACAGGATATGAACAGTGGACAGTGGTGAATCTGCTGCTCTCCATTGTATCTGGGCTTGGGTGTCTCCCGTTCTAATATTAGGTACGAGGTTTAGGACACCAGCTGGGACCGCTACAGCGTCTGTGTGTGGAGTGCTGGGTTTAAAGCCGTGGAATACTTGAAGAATGGGTCTCATTTGTCACTGCCCTTGAGCACTGTCTTCCCACTAATGTGAACTGAACAAAGAGGAGAAGTAGGCCTTTGTTGGTAGGATGGCCGGGGGCAGCGGAGAGGGAAATCCAAAAATGATAAGAGTGTGTGTGTGTGTGTGTGTGTGTGTGTGTGTGTGTGTGTGTTGCTTAAGATACATATGACCGTGGACAGCTGAATCAAGCAGCAAGCGAACAGAGAAAAGGAGTGCAAATGAATGTGATTGTGTGTGTTGGTTGATTGGAAAGCAGATTTGTGTACAGGCAGTACACTTATTAAGCCTTCACACTTGTTTATCAAGAGTGGCCACATGCCAGAGGATGCAACTTAAGACCTAAGTCACTGTCTCATTTCAATAATATTATCACATCTTTGGTCTTTTCTGACCCATCTGAACTGAGATTAACTCGTATTTTTGTGTCACTCTGTAGTGTTTTTGGTAATTAGGTTAAGATGAAGTGAAGTTGGTCATGCTGGGACAGGGACTCTGTAACTCACTTGGAAATTTTATTTAGTATTTGCTGCTATTGGTTTTAGACAGTGGCGTTTGTCTTGGATGCATTTTTTTCTCTACCAGACTGGGATAGCCCTTGATATGGGTGTGCACATCTGCCTGCTTGTTTGTGAGTGAGTGAGTGTGTGTGCGCGTGCGTGTTATATTGCAGAGGCCAAGAAGTACAGTTTTCAGCAACCAAACACACTGTTAAATCTGATATATTGGAAAAAATGCTTCTCTCCAGTACTGAAAACTCCCCTAACCTCCACTGCCCCTTTGTAGGAATTATACTGGTGGTTCAGGAGACTTCTTTCTTTATGTAGCAATGGTATTAAGAAAAAAACATACATTTCTCATCTCATTCTATAAATTAATTTTGAACAAAATGATTTGCCTTTATAATGTTTTACTGTGTTATTTAAAGATCTTACCATACGACACTAAAGCAACACCAATGGTTAAGCCCGTGTATATGAATTCAACATTTCAGGGCACTTCTGTTCCGTTAAACTTGTGTGTCCCCTAATACGATAACACTAGAATTGTCCTTCTACATTAATGCTATTAAAAAGGTATATTAAACTGACCCTAGAACAATACATGGATGTAACACCTCTGTCATCTGCCGTGCTGGTTCTGCAGCCCGTATTCCCTGTGCAGCTTCCCCGAGAGTGGCCAGTGTACAATCAACACAACAATTTATCAATGTGTCCAAATGAGTCATGCTGGGAATGACAAGATCCTGTATATACTTAAATACTATAAATGAGTATAAATATTTTTAGGCAAGTGAACCTGAATCTGTGCATTGTGTGCCTTATTCACAAAATGAGTTACTACAGTATATAATATTGGCAATGTCAATTAGTCCTCTGTATGTTATTGTCATACTATATCAACAATTTTTCTACTAAGCATTTTGAAAATCAGCAGGATGTGTTGGAAAATCACAAACCGAAGTGATGCGGAAAAGAAATTGACTGACAGGCACTCCACTTGTGATAGCATTTAGCATAGCACAGTGAAAACATTTATTTGGGGTATAAATCAATTATTTTCCTTTACTGCCGGTGTTGAAAAGAATGGTGTTAATCCACCACATAGAGGTGCCATGCGGTGAATGTATTTCCTTGACAATGGGATGTAGGGTGGTTAGATCTTGCACAGTGGAGCAGTCGGCTCCACGCAGCACATCCTGCCCACAGCCAATGTATTAACACAGTGTTCACATGAAAGCCATGGGCGGTGGTCACACAGAATCCGTAATCCCCCCAGGATCGCAGTGACAGGAATTGTTTCTATTGGTCAGTAGTGCCGACTGAGGGATCATTTCTCTTGGGTACATTATTTGGGGTGACATCTGCAATCCTATCCGAGGGTCAGTTGCCTGTTTAACCCAAAGCCACATTTTGTTTACAAGTGATGATTGTATGTAAAGACTTTCTGCCTGTCATCTTACCAGTGTTTTGGGCTCTCTTTTCTACTCGACCCCTGCACACTCGACAACACAAACATACACACTCAACATACAACGCTCAACTGCCTTGTACATTGCGATATGAACGGGGTCTTTCTGTTGCAATCTAAATTGAAGCCTTTATATTCCAGTCTGAGCTCTGTGTGTGTGCAGAAGAACCGGATTTTGTCATGTCATTTTGATTTGAATACTGTGCAACATGGTGATGCCAGGCCAGCTGTATATATGATCTCCAGAGTATTTCAGCGTGTAGATATGTTGTAAAGTTGTACTGTGAATGTGTAAATAATAATGATGGTCTTTGTTTCATGATATTTTTTGTTGATTTTTTTAACACGGCATGTATAGTTGAAATAAAACATTATGGCACAGAAAGAGTGGTCTTGGGGTTTTTTTTCATGTTGACGACATGTAATTTAGCCTGGTTGGGTTTCAGAAGTCGGCTCCTTATGTTATGTCATGTGTTTCTGGTGTGAGAGGGCATGACGGGGACCTGCAAAGAGCTAATAGTCAGATGCTCGGTGTCCTTTGAACTCAGCCTAAGAGCCATGAGATGCATTCGGTACTTACAGCATGACTTGGGTGGGTAATGTGTCCTGGCTGAGTTCTGTAAGATGACTATCTGAGACACTAAGAGTCGGCCGAATGATTAAGAGCCTCAGACTATTTTTAGAGCTGGGTTGTTTTGAAGTTTGAGGCCAGCGCAGAGTCAACCACACCAGATAGCATGTGGGAAAGTTTCCAAAGTAGCATGTTCCTCGTCGTGACACCGACCATCTGGACTAACTACTCCTCAAGGCATAAGATCTGAGCTATCAATGAGCTGTGGAAGAATGCATACATTGAGATGCATGCAGCGTAAACATCCAACACATGATGTCACGCACTGATAACCTTGTGATAAGATCAGCTTTCAACAACAAAGAGTAGAAAAAGGAGTGATGGTTGGTTGAAGGAGAGTCACTTTTCATGCGTTTCCGATCTGCAGAATGATAAATAATCTAAAAGACGTACGCATGCACATGCTGTAGTACTGAACTTCTCATAGCCATTCACATAAAGTTCACACAAATACTGAAACAAGCAGAAAGATACATCATAAAAATAGGATTTTTGTGTCAAAACATGACAACAAGAAGGCAGATGTCCAAATCACATACACGGGATGCCATGGTGGCTTGGCGGTCTAAAAACGCATACCACATAACAGCAACAACCCCGGTTTCAGTCCAGCCGGGGACCTTTGTTGCATGTCATCCCCCCTCTTTCTCCTCCCCACATTTCCTGTTTGCCTTTTCTCAGTTTACTATCAATTAAAGCAAAAAATGGTTCGAAAACGATCTTATAAAACATCACAAACAACTTTTGACCATCAATCATAATCATCATTTTAAATGCTAACGTCCTGCAGAAGCTCAAGTCAACAACCGTGGTAGACATTAGCAGTCAAATATCAAGATTGAAAGAAAAAGGTTTTTCAATCTGACTGAAAGAAGAAGAGCAGGAGGGCTCTGAGAGCGCGCCTCCTGCTTTTCTGCAGGGGAGGTTCTGCAGCCCTTTGGCCGGGAGGCTTTTGTGGCTCATCGCTGCCATCAGAATGTTGACACAAGTGCTCCTTCATTTGCTTTCAACAGGACCTCCTGAAAACTCACACCTCCTAGCAACCCAGCTCTCTCTCTCTCTCTCTCTTACACACACACACACACACACACACACACAAGGGAAACATTCTCCCCTCTGGGTGTTCTAACAGGGGTTGGGGTGTGATTTGGTTGGGAATGGGGAACAACAAAGAGGCGCCTCTTGCTATTCTGATGTACATCCCATCCTCTCAATTTATCAGATGGTCTCTTTGAATTAGTGGAGGCAAACCAAACACATCCAATGATTCTGTAGCTGTTTCATTCACTTGTCCGTCCGCCTGGCCACACTTAGCCTCATTACTAGCACTGACTGTTCCCGGACAAAAAGCATGCGTTTGTTGTCATACTGACGTGTATGTGTGTGTCTCTGCACGTGTGTGTGTGTGTGTGTGTGTGAGGGTGTGTGTTTATTTCACTTCATAAGGGACAGAGGAAGCAGATGCTGAAAAAAAACCCCATCTCTTAGTTAGTGTAAGTGGAACACAGCGAGGCTACTCGTTTAGTAGATGCAGGAGGATGAAAGTAAATTGCTGAAGTACAAAGTAAAATGTGCTTTTATCTCACGAGCAGATGCAGAAAGACACAGTACAGAGTACATACTAACACAGAGAGAGGGATTCGGTCCTTTCCTCGGCTTTGTGCTCCGCTTTCTCTGCAGCCTTACTTTAGATATTTAAGGATGGTGATTAGACTGAAAATCATCCATCTGTACTCCTTCCTGTCCTCTTTTCTTAAAAGCCTGGAGGTGAAACCAGCAATTACATTTACAAGCCTCGGTCATGGAAAGGTGATTAAAGGGTTTCTTTGTAGGCTTTAGCAAGTACATGTGCTCTCCCTCTCTGATGTACTAAAATCTGACGGAGTGTCCGTGCAATGCTTCATTTGAAAGCGGAATTAAATGACAGGGAAGAAGCCGAAATTGAGTTGGATTGAAAAAAAAGTTTTGCAGTGTGCTTTTGCGGTACAGCCTCTACAGTTGGGGAAAAGCCATCAAAGTCTAATCCATGTGCCAAGCACCCTTACATTGACAGTTGGCTAATGGCACACATTGCTTTGAAAAGTGACTTAAAAGGCAGGCAAACAAAAGCAAGGAAGAGAAAGGGATTGTTGAAATATGAGCAATGGAAGTGCAGACAGGAAGGGACGAGTAGCCTTTATGAGCACATACAGACATTTGGTTTGAAGATAAAACTATAAACAAAACAGCTTCATGAGAGAGAGAAAAAGCACATACAGTAAAGGGACTTTACCCAGTTCTCCAAAACTGAGTTTTAGCAAAGTTCTGCAATCAACTGCTTTGACACCACAAAGAGAGACAGTGAGAGAGATGGCAGGAGGGAAAGAACTAGGCTGCAGAGATTTTAATTCTTTGCTATATTATATAATGGCTGCTGAGATCTCCCTGCGGTGAATGGCTGCTGCGTTCCAAGATAACCTCTGGAAAATGACACGACAACCTCTTTTTATGCCTGCATCTGCACTGCCACCTGTGTTTTATCACGAGACATTATTGTTAAGGAGGCGTGTGGAAAGGGAGACATAAGGAAATAATTATGCTGAGTCAACAAAGGCAATGCATTATATTATCCAATGAAGTCCAGAAATTATTTTAAGAAAAAATAGAACATCAACGGTGTTACTCATCAGTTTTCTTTATTGCTTTCTTGCAGTCCAAACACAGCTCTGCTGCCTCGAGTTAACAAATTGTGCACTATTAGAATAATGATTTTTTTTTTAATCTTGTTTCTCACCTGCACCGGAACACACCACCATACTTGCCTTCTTTCAATTAAATCATACCTCAATAAGGTAATTAAGCTCTATATTTACTGTAATAAGTTTCATTTTAACGTCTTAATCACACACACAACACTGAAGAGGCAGGAGAAGCACAGGCTGATTGTCAGCTGCAATACATGACACTGTAGTAAACTAAACATGCAAAAGGTGTAACTTCATTCAATTCATAAAATTGTCCTTCTGTTTAAAACATTTACATCTGACAGCATAGAGTGTGTCGTTAACCTGCCCTGTCACTGTTTATAAAGATATCCCGGTGACATGACATCACAGGACATCTGAACATAAGCATACTGTTATTACGATAAAGTGAAATGTTGACATGTTAGCGAGTAGGCTAATGTGTTAGTGATATGTATCCCCAAAGTAAGAGAGCTACAGTGCACAAGAGCTTTGTGTTACATGAGGTCAAAATATATCCAACATATATTTATAAGTTGTGCCAATTTATACCCATTAACAACCTCGGCGCTCAGCTTGTTAGCACTGCCTATGCTAATCTTAGGGGAGAAAAAGTTGATTTAATTTAACTTTAATTTAAATTTTTCATAATGTCTGCTGCTCTATTCTTGCAGGCTGAGACAGTGGATGT